CCAACAACCATGCCATGTTCAGAGTCACTTAAATCCCCTTTCTTCCCCATTCTGATGCTCGCTTTGTACTGCAGCAGGTCGTCTTGACCATGTTTACATGCCTAAATGCATCGAGCTGCTGCCATGTGATTGGTTGATTATAAATTTGTGTTAAGGAGCAGTTGGACAGGTGTACCTAATAAAGTGACCGGTGAGTGTAAGACTTTGAATTGTATATTTCTCATGCATATCAAATTGCAATGTGACACAAATTGACAAATAATAGTTTTTTAGGCATCAGTTTAATGCAAATTAAGTCGTTTTTGATAAAAGTAATGAATTCATTTTTCTAAGCATCAATGTAATGCAAATTCAATAGTAAGGTGCTAAAATCCTCAACTGATTTTTTTTATGAGCACAATATCTCATCTTAACATGTACACAACCATTATGAAACGTTGTGTGAACGCTCTGCTATATATAAAGGCTGGTTTGGTGTGTGATGGCGCTGGATGTAAATGTTTTTTCAGGAATGTCGGGCCCCTGCTCTTCATTCACCGGTGTGTGTGTGTGTGTGTGTGTGTGTGTGTTCGTGTGCATGTGTGTGTGTGTGTGTGTGTGTGTGTGTGTTCAGACAATGCTGTGGTTGTGCGGCCTGGGATGGCAGCGTCTGAGAGCAGCTCTGAAGAGTTTCTCACACTGAACTTCCTGGAGGCGGGCCTTCTCTCTTTCTGCTGCTCTCATCAATGGCATTCCGACCCGAGCCTCTGTTACACACACAGACAAAAGCCCTGCATTCCTGAGCTGCTCTGTGGCCGGCCCGTCACTGATGCTCATTCACACACACACTGAACACAGCCATCAGATGTGCATGCACACATACACACACACACACACACACACACTGAACACAGCCATCAGATGTGCATGTACACCCATAGACACTCAGAAAACAGAACACTTAACACAACTATTAGATGCACACACAAACAACACACACACACACACACACACACACACACAATTCAGAACACTTAACAGCCATCAGATGCACACACACTGAACACACCCATCAGATCCACATACACACATACTGAACACAGCCATCAGATTCACAAACACACACACACACACTGAACAGTGATCAGATGTGTATGCACACACACACTAAAAACAGAACATTGAACACAGCAATCAGATGCACATACACACTGAACACAGCCATCAGATGTGCATGCACACACACACACACACACACACACACACACACACTGAAAACTTAACACTTAACACAGCCATCAGATTCACACACACACTCTGAAAACAAAACCCTGAACACAGCCATTAGATGCACACACACACACAAAACATAACACTTAACACAGCCATCAGAAACACACACACACACACACACTATGAAAACAGAACACAGCCATTAGATGCACAAACACACACACACACTGAAAACAGAACATTGAACACAGCAATCAGATACACACACACACACTGAACGCAGCCATCAGATGTGCATGTACACTCATACACACACACACACACACACAAATACCTTAAAAACATAACACTTAACACAGCTTTTAGATACACACACTCTGAAAACAGATCACTGAACGCAGCTGTTGGATGCACACACACACACACACACACACACACACACACACACTAAAAACAACATTGAACACAGCAATCAGATGCACACACACACACTGAACACTGCCATCAGATGCACACACACACACACACACACACACACACACTCTCTGAAACCAGAACACTGAACACAGCCATCAAATACACACACACACCCACACACCTCTTAACTCGGATAGCAACAACTGGGATAGAGGTTCCCATTTTTAAGGGTGTACTCACACTAGGCTATCCGAATCATGCCTAGGCACATTTGACCCTCATTTCCCGGTTTGTTTGACAAGTGTGAGTGCTCTGAATTAGGCCCAGGTGCAGTTCAGGTGGCCGGCCCTGACTTAGTTGGAAGGGTTGTGCCAGAGCGCAGTTCGGTTGAGCTTTGGTACGATACGCTTGAACGATACGCTTGTAGTGTGAGAGCAAAGTGCGCCTAAGCCTGAAACTGAAGTCTCGGCATCACTATTAAGGGACTTTTAACTTGTTTGATATATGTTGACACACAGTCAAATATTTCGCCGAACAGATCAGCCACTTTTGATGCTCATGTAGGCCTCCGTCGGTCAGTGTTGACCATTGATGACGTATCCTAGCTCTTATCTTGAGGCATGACTGATTGTCTGAGACAGTGTCGTTGGTGGCTGAAGAGCCCAATACGGGAGAGGCGTTCTTTACCGCAGCAGTCGCATTGATAGGTGGCTCCCTGGCTGACGTTCTGCACCTTTCGGTGACCTCGCTTGTCCTCTGACGCACGCATCATGTTCTTCTCACCTGACTTGAGCTGTTTGGTCAGGGTCCACCTCCATTTTAGGCGGTCTTCCCAGGTGTTTATGTCGAGGGCTTTCATGTACCTCTTCACGACATCTTTAAATCTTGAATGGGGTTCCTGTGGTTCTCTTCCCAGATGAGAGTTCTCCGTATAGGATATCCTTTGGGATTCTTCCATCCTCCATGTGGCGCACATGACCAAGCCAGCGCAGGCGATGTTGTCGGAGCATGGTATACATGCTGGGAAGGCCGGCTCGAGTCAAGACTTTGACGTTGGAGACTTTGTCCTACCAGGAAATGCCCAGAATGCCCGTAGACCTCTTATGTGGAAGGTGTTCAGTCTCCTCTCCTGTCTTGCAGAGGTGGTCCATGTCTCACTTCCGTACAGCAGAGTGCTGATGACGCAAACGTTGTACACTGCCATCTTTGTTGCAGTTGTCAGCCTATGGTTTGTCCACACTTAGGTTGTCAGAGGGCTAGAGTAGAGGCTGCCTTCCCGATCCTCCTGTCAAGCTCAGCATCCAGGGAGAGGTTATCGGTGATGGTGGAGCCCAAGTACGTGATCTGGTGGACGACATCAAGCTGGTAGTTGTCTACTGTGATGGCTGGGGGAGTGGCAATGTCCTGGCTCAAGACATTTGTTTTTTTCAAACTGATGGTCGGCCCAAAGTCTTTGCAGGCCATGAAAAAAAACATGGCCATGGTTTGAGTCTAATAATCTAGGACAGTTTGTTTCTTGAACAGTAAGATTGATTAATAAATCCATATGAAACAGTCCCTTAAAAGTCACGTCTCGTCTTCAGTTTCGGGCTCAGGCCCACTTTGTTCTCACACTACAAGCGTACCACGCCTGAGCCCAAGGGAACCGCGGTCTGGCCAACTGGGCCAGGGCCGGCCAAGTGAACCGTGCCTGAGCCCGATTCAGCAAACTCACACTTCTCAAATGATCCGGGAAACGGGCCTGGGTATGGTTCGGATAGTATAGTGTGAGTGCGCCCTTCCACTGCACATGAAAAGCAACAAACCAGAAGTCATTCATTTCCAATGGAGAGCAGTCCGGAGCAGTTCTGATCATCTCCGTATGTGGAAACTTTAGATCCGATTTGAGCTGCGGATCCATTAAAATATTTAAGCTTCTGCGACTGTGGATCTGATGTATTACAGTGTTTTCCAATCAGGTTTGTGTGTGCGAGGTGAGAATTATTAGTAGTTTTGTTTGTCATTTCTGTCACTTTTTGAATCAGAATGGTGAGCTATTCCTGGGCAGGGTGAAGCCAGAGGAAACTCTGGTGGAGGCCTGCAGCAGTCCTGATGTGGGTCCGACCTGGGTAAAGAAGCAAAAGACTAATCGAACCATTTAGTAACTGGTTCCCTCCAAAGTTTCCCTCAGGATAGCTGGCACTGCCATGCAGTTTTATCCAGTAAATCGTATGAATAGAGGCCTTGGGGCCAAAAACGACATGAACCAGGGCCGGAGTGGGACTCTTTTTCAGCCCTGGAGTTTCAAGCCTCAGACCGGCCCACCTCAGTTCACCACTGACTATATTAAAATAAGGTTATTTCCAATTCAGTTTCTAATTACACTATCATGTCTTTTTTTTTTGAGAAAACAGCTCTTTTAGAACTTCAAATGTTCAACAACCCTTACAGTATTATGTCTTAACAATAAAAATGAAAAAAAAAAAAATTGTTACTCAGACAAGGACCGAACTTAGATTGGCCGCGTCAACGTACTAACCACTGTACCACAACAGCTATACGTTGAATGGTGACTTATCTAGTTATATCATCATTAACCTGCAGGCTGCATCCTGCTCGCGAGGCTACGAGAAAATAGATAAAAAGAGCAGAGCTGCGGTAAAATAATGAATAAGAAGGCTGTGGTCAAGTAAATAAATACATTATTTTTTAAAAGTGTGACTGCTGAGAGCAACAGATTCTGGAACTAGGGACACCGGCCCTCGCGGCCAAAAAACGCACCGGCCCACCGGGAATTCTCCCGGTCCTCCCGATTAGCCAATCCGGGCCTGACATGCACCTATTCTCAAACTTTGATTTGAAATATATATATTTAAAAAAAAAAAATATATATATATATATATATATATATATATATATATTTTTTTTTTTTTTTTTTTTTTTTTTTTTTTTCAACTTATAAGAAGCTGAGGCACCCCAAAATAGAAAATCCTAAAATCGCCCCTGTTGGGACCACTTATTTTTTTATGTTTTATCCACATTAATTTGTTAAAAGTGTTACGTTAACTTAATCAATTTGTGTTGGGACAGCATGAATAAATTGTGTGGAACCCTGCATTTTTTACAGTGGATAATAAAGCAAACTTGTCTTTAACCCTTTTTGCACAAATAGGTTACTAAGGGTTGACGGAGCATTATTTTATTTTTCAGTAATTGGTGGATACTGGTGGGGACACGTCTCCTCCGTCCATGCCAATTCTACGCCCTTGGTGTTGCCCCGAGTTTAGTAATTGTGTTGGGTAGTAATAATAATATAGTATAGTGTAGAGGCGGTGTGCTTTAGGACCTGGCGGGCCGCTGTTCTCCGGCGTTTCTGCAGGCTGAGCCCCGCTGCTGGAGTGAGTAAGTGAGTGAGAGAGAAAGAGAGAGAGGAGGTGTAGTGGAGGAGAGGACAGGAGAGACTCGCTCGAGCTCATCGAAACACTTTTACCTGTTTTCTGCGGGATTTCAGCGGCGGGAGAATCAGCGAGCGATGCTCCGGAGCCCTCGGTGAACCCAGCCCTGGTAAAGCCGCTCTCCGTTCAGTTCACTGTGCTTCTTGTCGGACAGCCGAGCTCAGCAGATGCGCTTATTTCTCTCTCAGAGGCCTACAAGACAACACTTTAACTCTCATGTTAAAGCAGGCTGAATAAAAGTGCTGGTTAACGCTTTGAGTCTAGTCAGTTTAGTTTGTGTGTGTTTTCCGCCCTTATTCATCTGTCACTTCTGACTTTGTCACTTTAAGCGCGTGCACGCGCAGGCCCAGCTCTACACTGTTACAATGTTGCAATATCAATATTCGAATGCTGCATTATTTGATACAATGTTGCAATCTTGAAACGCTGCATAGTTTCTCTCAGTGCTCTGCTGTTTACTGTGTGTGTGTGTGTGTGTGTGTGTGTAAGTGTGCTGTGTTTACAGGCCACATGTGCTACTGAGTGAACATCTCTGTCTGGGTCTTCTGTTAATATTTCTTCAGAGTTATCTCCGGTGATGTTTTTATGTCTGTGCTGTACTCTAAGAGCCTGTACAGTTGTTTACAGTGACATCACACATGCCCTGGTGCTGTATAGAGATAAAGTTGGCTTTATATTCACACATTCAGACTTTCTCCTTACTAACATAATTTATCTACAAATTCTAAATATCAAAATCATATTAGCAGCCAATGACTGTCAAAGTACAACATTGTTCACAATCAGATAAATAGTGCTAATGTTGTTTAGAAGCCGAATATTCAAAGTACCGTGGTAAACAATATAGGGAACATGTTCCTGAACGAATGTGCGAACATAAAACCAACTTTACCTCAATAGGTGCTGTCTCTGAAGTGCATTAGCATATAGTGTACTTGATTTAGATGAGTTGTTTTCAGAGTAAAGTATTGTAAAACTCATATTCAGGGCTCTGTGATATGACAAACAACTATATATAGATAATTAGATATCATATCCTGATAATGGTATGCGTGCAGTGTTTACAGTAACGTCACACATCTCCTAGTGCTGTTTCTGAAGTGCATTAGCTTAGTGTACTTGATTTAGATGAGTTGTATGTATATTAAAGTATTGTAAAACTCATAGGGCTGTGCGCTATGACAAAAAGACTTGTATGATAATTATAAATCATATCCTGATAATGATATACGTGCAGTGTTTACAGTAACAGCACACATCTCCCAGTGCTGTCTCTGCATTAGTGTACTTGATTTAGATGAGTTGTATGTATGTTAAAGTATTGTAAAGCTGGCAGTTTATAGATAAAGGGCTGGGCAAAACAACAAAAAATGTCATATCATGATTCATAATTAGTCATATACCCTGATACTGATGCATCACAATCACACTTATTTGCACATTGAGTCAGTTAGTAGTTTATATATCGACCACATGGAAAGGACTGGTACTTGTTTACATTTTAAGGTATATACACTCAAAAATGTACTCATGTGATGTTATTCTCACTTTATTTAAATAGAACTTAAGGACAAATGTATTATTAGGAATGTAGAAATGTAAAATAAATCATTATTAAATATAAAAACTAGTTATTACGGCCCAATATTACATATTTCTAAATAAAATGCATAATGTAAACATTGTATCTCCATGCCATTGTTCTCATATATGTCAGAATACCCATGGTGGAGTATAAAGTTTAATACATACAAATATAAATACATAAAAATATACACTAAACAATGTGTTCTGACGTTTTATTCCATCCATCATATATATATATATATATATATATATATATATATATATATATATATATATATATATATATATATATATATATATTTATTTATTTATATATATATATATATATATATGTATATTTATATATATATATATATATATATATATATTTTTTTTTTTATATATATATATATATATATATATATATATATATATATATTTATATATTTATATTTGAATAATATTTATATATTTATAATATTATTCACCCCCCACTTCTTTTTTCTTTTTAAAATATTTCCCAAAGGATGTTTAACAGAGCAAGGAAATTTTCACTGTATGTCTGATAATATTTTTTCTTCCAGAGAAAGTCTTATTTGTTTTATTTAGACTGGAATAAAAGCAGTTTTTAAATTTTTTAAAGCCATTTTAAGGTCAATATTATTCGCCCCTTTAGGCTATATTTGTTTTGCCTAATTGCCCTAACCTGCGTACTTAACCTAATTAACCTAGTTAAGCCTTTAAATGTACCTTTAAGCTGTATAGAAGTGTCTTAAAGAATATCTAGTCTAATATTATTTACTGTTATCATGACTAAGACAAAATAAATCAGTTATTAGAGATGAGTTATTAAAATTATCATTATAAATGTGTTAAAACAATCTTCTCTCTGTTAAACAGAAATTGGGGGAAAAATAACAGGGGGGCTAATAATTCTGACTTCAATTGCATATTGCACAGCCCTAAGACATGTTACAGTATGCATACGTAAATAGTTTCTGAAGTAGCTGTGTCAGAAGTGACTGTTTCAGAAGATGCTGACTGTAATAAGCAGATTATTGACTGTAAACACTCTCTCAGCTGATTTACGACTCCACGCAGTGACTTCATCTAATCATGACGGATCTTGTTTACTGTAGGCTTGTTTAGTCTTTGATTCCTGATGGTTTTTGATGATAGGTTATGTGCTGCATGGTGTACAGCACCATTTAAAGTTTAGACACATACTAGTTTTACATGACTACATCTCACACTCTAGAAAAACAGTGAAGCAACTTCATCTGACATCACACAAGTGAAAAAATGGGAATGTTTTTTTTTTTTTTTTTTTGCACTCAAAACATGTGAACCAAGTAAAACACTACACTACCTGACTAAAGTCTTGTCGTCTATGCAATTTTTTGGAACAACAAATAGTAAGTTGACTTCTAGTTGATCATTTGGTGTCAAAAGTGTCTTCTATGAAAGGCAAAGGCTTCTAGATTTTGCTTATTTGAGCACAATTAAATCTGATCATGTCTTGATTCTTCATGATTTGATTAGGACAGTAAGATCTGACTCTGCTCAGACTAAAGTCTGATCACTGAACAGAAATAATGTCCAGTATAGAATATAAAGTCCTGCTGCAGTGGAGACAGAATGAATATTGTGTCTGACTCCATCATGAGCTTGGAGGACTGCATCCATACATCTCTGACATGACTCAAATCACTGATTAATAAAGTCATCTGGAATGAAGAAGAAAGAGTTCAGCAGGACTCCCAGAGTTCATCAAGAGTCTTTGTGTTCATCTTCAACGCCTCCTCCTTCATCTTACCCCAGACATGCTGAATAATGTTCATGTCTGGTGACTGGGCTGGCCAATCCTGTAGCAGCTTGACCTTCTCTGCTTTCAGGAGCTTTGATGTGGAGGCTGAAGTATGAGGAGCGCTATCCTGCTGGAGAATCGTCCCTCTGCTGTGGTTTGTAATGTAATGGGCAGCACAGATGTCTTGATACCTCAGGCTGTTGATGTTGATCATCCACTCATTCTGAATGAACCCCAAACCATGATTTCTCCTTCACCAAACTTGACTGATATATGTGAGAATCTTGGCTCCATGCTGGTTCCAGTAGGTTTTCTGCAGTATTGGTGATGATTGATGCAGATCAACAGATGATTCAGCAGAGAAATCCACCTTCTGACACTTTTACACATCATCAACTAGAAGTCAAGTTAATATCTGCTGCTCCTACAACTGAGATCCACAGCAAGACTTTGGTCAGGTAGTGTATATTATTCAATTCAAATTTCATTCAATTCAGTTTAAATTTACTTGTATAAGTGTATCTGTCTTCATTTCGGGAGCGTGTGAATTATGTAGCCAGAAAGCATTTCATCTTTAAAACGAATGCTATAGGGGCGGTATGACGCACTCGACGGCTTATGTTGATTTTAATGCTACCAGCTGACCGCTTGCCTCTATACGGATGCCTTTTCTGGTGTTACTAATTTTCCCAGTAGCTCACTGCTTATGTCGGCGGACTTGGGACGTGAAGCAGAGTTCACTGCAATGACAGGGGTTTGAGTGCGGCGAAAAAAAGTTTCAGAAACCAGGTAAAACAAAAGATGAATAAAATAAATAAAAAATTGTAACTTTTATTTTTACGCAGACACGACGGCTTTACTTTTTCTAGATTGCTTTTGAAAACACTATTGGTTGGGTTTAGGAAAGGGGGTAGGTGGGTCAGTGCACAGCAGGCTGGCCTGGTCGGCCGAAGTGTATATTGCACCCTCTGGTGGATTTGAGTGAGAAGAGGACGTGCGAGAGAAACTTGAGATCATCAAAAAGCGTACACACGGGAATTGCGAAAACAAAAACTGAAAGCTGATGTACCTGCAGTTACATATTTCGCTTAGAGCTGTAATCAGGCCTTAAAAGTTAGGGCCAACAGAGCTCAAGCCCGACAAGTACATTTCGATTGACAGCTTTTTAAAAAGCCTGAACATCTCTCTTGGGTGTAATTTGCTGTCAAAGTATTTTTACAGTTCAGTTTTAGCGATCTTCATGTTTACAATTGTGCTCCCTTCGCAGTGCACTTTGATTTCATTTTGAACACAGCCTCATGGCGAAAGCTATAGGTGACCTATTTTTTAAAAGCGGAATTTATGTTACGTCTCCAACCCTTGTGAAAACAAAAAAGCACAGCATACTTTAATGCTTTAAGTTATAGTGGGTTATTTATTAAGCATCTGTACTGTATGTGACATGGGCCTGCTGGTTACAACTTTCTGCAGTGGTTTGCAAGTGTCAAATTGTAAAAGTAGACTTTTAAAAAAAATAAAAACAATATCCTACTTAATAATAATCATCATCATCATCATAAATATTATTAATATTATTTTTAAAGTGTGATTTTTTTTCACTTCTAATACATAATAAATATAAAATTTCATTTTATAATAAATCGCCTCATTTATGTATTCATATGATTTATATTTGATATTAGAATAGGTGTTAGCTTTTGTAGGTAATTTTTTGTTTTATAATAGGATATGTCATA